CCATTTGTCTTTGTAATGTCCAAGCTTAGGCCTTTTATATTCTTTTACAGCTCCCCCACTCTACTGCCCATCTATACCCCCAACGTGGTAGTGCCCTTGGCACCACTACCACCCACCTTCCTGTCCCCAGTGCCCGCCCTCATCCAGCCCAGCCTACTGGGGTGTGGCCCCTGAAACGCACAGCCCCCCAGGGCTGCTCTGGGATCTAGATGCCCTATTCCAGGGGGTGCCACCCAACAAGAGCATCTATGATGTGTGGGTGAGCCACCCTGGAGAACTGGCCGCCCCCACCCCGGGCTGGCTGCTCTCCTGGTACAGCCTGTGAGCTCCAGGGCAGGGGCTGCCAACCCCCACCCCCACCCCCGTCCCCCACCCCCATCCCCACTGCCACTGGCTTGTTGAGGGGACCAAAGGCCAACGGGAGTCAGAAGTGTGGCCACAGCGGCCTGGAAACACCAGGCACCAGCCACTGAGAGTCTACCATGTTTATTGGGCCCCCCCACAAAGGGTGTGTCAACCCGGCCCTGATGGTCAGGCCCCTGCTACCCCCAGCGGCAAGGCTGGGAGGAGTGGCACTGCCCGAGTGGCCTTTCCTGTCCCCTTCCTAGTCCCACCTTCTCTGGCCTCTTCTGTCCGTCCGTCCATCCATCCATCACCATCTGCCACCTCCCTCTCCTGGCTCCGGGGTTGGGGGAGGGAGGACTTCTATGGCAGCTCAGCCTGAAGCCCTCTCCTTCCTCAACTGTCTGGGCCGAAGGTGGCACCTTTTGGGGGAAAGGCATAGGGGAACAGGAACCCGACCTAGTGTGGGTGGTGTCGTGGGAGAGAGAACAGTAAAGGAATGGACCACATTTTCATGGCAAGACTGATGTTTGGTGCGGGGCAGTGATTGTGGTGACTCGGAAACCAGTAGGCCAGGCCCGGCTGCTCTGGGGTCCCCCGCTGCGTCGGCGATAGCAGCAAATGGCGATAAGGAGGGAGCCGCGGCCTGGCCTGGCTGAGGGCGGGCAATCTGGCTGGGGCGGAACACTCCGCGCTGGGAGGGGGTGAGACAGCTCTGGGAGTTTGGGAACCAGTGAGCCCCCGGAGGTCAAAGGTGGTAGGCGTGTCGGGGTTTTGCCGCCTCCGCCGGCAGAGGGCGCAACCCCAGACTCCTGGCCCTGACTACGAGAGCAGGTCCTCGGGGGACCCGGGAGCCGAGCCGTCGGGGCCGGGGCTGGCAGGGCTTCCCGGGGACGGCGTCGGGGTGCAGAGGGTCCCGGTGAGCGGCGTGTCCGTGCTCAGGGAGGAGGGCGTCCCCGAGCGCCGGGTTCTGCGGCGCCGCGCCGGCCCCAGCTCCACGCGGCCCACTCGCTCCGCGAACTTGAGCGAGCACACGGTCTCGCCGAGATCCTCGGGCCGCGTGGAGATCTGCGGGGGAGCGCGCGGTGGGCGGGGCCTGGCATGCAAATCGCCCCGAGCGGCGCTGGTGGGCGGGGCCTGGCATGCAAATACCCCCCGGGCTTCGCCTCCGCCCGCGCCGAGGAAGCCCACCTGCAGCAGCAGCACCGCGGTGGCGCCGGGGCCGAGCGCGGGCTGGAGCAGGCGTGTGAGCTGCGAGTCGCGGAAGGGCACGTGCGGCCGGCGGGCCCGCAGCGCCGTCATCACCCCTCCCAGCGCCAGCAGCGAGCGGTTGATGGCCCGGGCCTCCCGGAGGCGCTGGGCGTCGTGCGTGTCGCCCCTCGCCCTGCAGACGGCCCCCGCCTTCCGGGCGCGCTCGGACCCCGCCAGGTCCACCAGGTGCAGCGTGCCTGCGGGGCGAGCGAGCCAAGGGGAGGGGACTCCCAGTAAGGTCCCCCGTGCGCCCCTGCTCTGCCAGCGCAGAGACCCTCCACCACGGGGCGGGGCGCGGCCGTGGTACCTGTGGTGCCTGGGCCGCGCGGGGGAGACGCTGCCTCCAGTGTCAGCGTGACCAGCGCGTGAGAGCGAGAGCTGTGCTGGTTCATGGCGGTGGCAGCGGTGGCCCGGTTGCTCCTCCCCAGGCTCAGCATCTGGAACGCGCAGCGACAAGGCTTGGCTTACTGCGGGGTCCACAGCCCAGGTGTGAGCACAGCTGTGCGGCCCCACTGGGCAGCCTTACCTGGTGCAGGGTCTCCAGGTTGGGCACATCCCAGTACGTGAGGCCGGCCACTTGGATCCCTCCCTGACCTGCAGGGCCCTGCCGCACCGCCAAGCGCTCAGGGGGCCCAGGGGCTAGGAGGTCCCTGGTGAGAAAGGTGAGGCCTCGGTTCAGGGGTTCTTGGCAAAGGGGCGGGGGGGGGGGGAGGGGCTAGGAGGCAGCTAGGGTGTCGCCCTGACCTGACAGCCTCGTTGTAGATCTCCACCATGCTGAGGGTCACTCGGGGGTGCCCTCCGGCCCTCATCTCCCGAAACAGTGACTGCAGCGCCCTAGGAGCTATGCCGGGGTCCTCAGGTGGGCCCTGGAGAGGGGGTGGGTGCCACATGGGGCTCACGTCCTAGCCCCTGGCCCCAGGAGCCACCCAGTGGACACCCCCCCCCCCTTTCCACCTCCATGGTGTAGGGCTTTCCAGGCCCTGTCTGGCCATAGGTGAAAATGCAGACACTGTAGCCTCGGAGGCAGGACAGCACCGCGGGCTCCAGCTCCCTGAAGACCTAGGGGTGTGGGGAGGGTCCTGAGCCTGGACCTGGGCAAGCTTATTCCAAAGCTCAAGTGCCCTGGAAGGACAGTTCTGGGGGGAGTTTGCTGGAAGGGGGGGTCTCCTGCCAGGCAGAGGAGGCTCCCTGGATGAGAACTTGCCCGGCAAAGGGAGCAGTGTGACAGGAAGAGGGAACAGGCGTGCAGAGTATTGGCATCCTGGTGACCACGTGGGAGGACCAGGGCATTCGTACTCACTGGCCGGGTCAAACCCCAGGGCATGATTGCAAGGCCTCCCCTCACAGGAGACCACTGTTGGAGGGTTAAGGGGGAACATGTGCCCAGGGGCTACAGTGGTGCTCTCCACAGCAAGGGTGAGCCCAGAAAGGCCCGGGAGGTGGGGGGTGGGGAGGTGGGAGGTGGGGGGTGGGAGCGCTGGCCCACCAGGATGCCCTCGGAGGGTGCAGAAAGGGCTGGGGGGAGATGGGGCTGTGACTTGTGTCCTGTTGGCAACTGGACATCAACAGTAGCCTTGTGAGCAATGGCATGGCCAGCATTCGTGCATAGAAGGCTGGTAAGTGGGTGAGCTGTCATTTCTGCTGAGCGTGCCGGCTGCCAGCCAGGGGAGCAGAGTCCAGCATTGCGAGTTGGTCCCTAAGCTTCCATCTCTGGAAGGAAGGACTGGGGGTGACAGAGGCACCAGTGCAGACATGGCACCGAGAGATGCCTTTCACTCTCACCCAGACACTGATTTGGAGGGTCCTGTCCAGGACAAGCCCCCTCCCCACCCCAGTGCAGGACTGCAGTGTAGGTGGGACCGAGGCCTGGCTAGTGTGTCAGGTGAAGAGGCAGGTGGGAAACAGCTGTAGTGCCCAGGAACATGGGGAGAGGGAAGACCTGGCACCCCGAGGCCAAACAGGACTCTGCTTTCTCAGCCAGCTCTGCCCTGACCTAATCCCCCCCCCCCCCACCCCAAGGCCTGCCTCCATTTCCTGAGCTCCAGAAGCTCCAGCAGCAAAATGTGTGTGCAACACACGGTGTGTGTGAAGAGGGTGGTGGCTGGGTTAAGCCTCAGCTTTTCTGCTGGGTCTGGCAGGAAAGGGGCGGGGTCCGCACAGGGTAACCGAGCCCAGAGGCTGGAAGCTCGCTGCCGGCTTGCCAGGGCCCTGTCCGTGCCCTTGGCCACAAAGCAAGGAGGGCTGCCTGTCCTCACAGCTGGCAGACTCTGGGCCCTGGCCATGGAGCAGGCAGCCCGGGAAGCCAGGGGGGAAGGTGGTCACGGCACCATCCCCACCTCAGCAGCACCCCAGCTACGCTCCCTAGCCAGCTCTGCATGAACAGTGATCTCAGACAGGTTCATTTTCTTTAGTTTCCTGGTAAAAACATTATTTTTAAATGTTAAACCTTACTGTCTGTTCCCCCTGGGCCTGCACAGCTTGGTGAGGGGACGCAGAGGGGAAACCCTGGATGGAACATATGTGCCCAGCTCGGCTTCCGGTCCTGCCTCCCCCCCCTTCCCTGCTGGGATCTGGGCACTTTTGCTCCTGGGAGGGCAGAAGGGCAGGAAAGGGGCACCAGAGCCTCTGGGGGCTCTGAGGGAGGGTCAACACAGGTGTGAGGGTGGAGCATCACCTCTTCCTGGCTGGCGTCTGGAGGGAAGACCCAGTCCAGGCGGAAGCGACGCTGGTGCCCTCGATAGCAGGTGGTGACCGTGCCGCCTGGGCCGGGCGCCGAGCTCACCAGGCTGGAGGGCGTCCCTGGCCTCAGCCGACACAGCACGCGGATATTTCCTGGGGTTGAGATCACAGCAGTGGGCTGCCTCCCAGACCCCGAGGCACAGAGAGGCTCCAGTTCCTCTGGCCTGCCCACCCCACCCCCATGCTCCCCAGTGGCCATACCCTTGAGCTCCAGTAGCCGCCCTGGGCATCCGGTTGGGGGCTCCTGCTGCCCTTCAGGAAGCTGAGGCCCCGCCCCACTGACTGACAGTGCCCTCAGGGCCCAGGATACCTGGGGAACAGGGATGTGAGCAAGGCAGGGAGGGACTGCCAAGGAGAGGGGAGGGGTGCTGAGGGCAATAGGGAGCCGCTGTATGGCCACCAGCTGTGAGAATCCACAACATTCAGTGGCTGGGGTCCCTAGGGGTGTCACTCAGTGGCCCGGATGGAGCCCGCCAATCAGGACCATGGGCAAGGATGTCATTTGTCTCCTCTGGGCTTCTTGACAATCCTGTGAGGGATTCACCATCACCCCAGTGAGCACAGGACAAAAATGAGACCCAGAAGTGAGGTAACGGCTGGGTCACAGGAGCTGTCCTGATTCCAGAACCTACAGTCCATCAGAGCAGGCAGCTCCCTGGGGCTGGGAAGGAGGAAAGAGGGGCTCCCTAAGGGGAGGACGGGACTGGCTGCCCCGGCGCACACACTGGAGAGGGAGCAGGCGGTCCTGACCTGGCCCCGGGCCTCGCTCAGGGAGCCCTGGCAGCTCTGGGTAAAGGTGCTGACCAGACCGCGGAGGTCCCCGCAGCCCTGACGCAGGCTGGCCATGCGTGCCCGGAGTCCTGGTGGGAGAAGGGGGTTGTGAGGGAAAGCCCCAACCCCGTGACCTTCCCAGGAGCCCCCGGTCCCAGGTCTCACCTGCCAGCTGCCCGTGCACCTGCTGCAGCTCCCTTCTGCAGCTCTGCTCTGTTTCCTGCTGGAGCTGCCGGAGGGCCCCCCGGAGGCCCTGCAGCTGCACCTCCTGCACCCCCAGCTGCCCCACCCCACCCAGTCACTGAGGAAGTAGGCACTTACCAGGCCTTGCCTCAGACATCCCCCTCCCAGTGCCTCCGTCTTCCCAGCCCCTGGACCGAGCACTCACCTGGACTCGGAGGGTTTCTGTGGCCTCCTGGGCCTCCTGAAGCTGGCCCTGGAGCTCCACCAGTGCCTCTGCCTCCTCCTGCAGGAGGGGTGGGAGCCATGGAGCCAGAAGGAAACTCGGGGAGGGGCATTCTAGCAGCCCCATTGCACACAAGGGGAAGTCAGGTCAAGAGGGGCAGACAGAGCCAATCATGAATCGATGCAGGACTTTACCCCAAGTCCCTCGCTCGCCTGGGGTCAGTCACTCAGAGGACCCATGGCGTGTGTGTGTTTAGGGGAGGGGGGTGGTTCTCCCATGAGCATCAGTCTCCTCCATGGGGTTGCCCTGGGCCTGTCCACATCCTGTC